TGATCTGTCCTTTAGTCTATAGTTCATTCAGCACAGTTCAAAGAAGGAAATTTTGTACAGAGATTGAAAAGGAAATGATATTAATGAGTGGGTCCAATGATCTGGTTTATAGCTGCTGATAGAGCTAAAGGAAGAAAATCACAGTGAGGAGACCAGTCTCCGGCCTTTAATGTCCCTGTAATTTTTTTACAAAAAGGTAAAATGGCTTTGTAAAGGCATTTCAGCAGAATAAAATAAAAATGTGATTGCAGGTTGCAGCATGGATTTATGATTTGATATACTTGATGTAGCAGGAGATACGTCAATGTAACTATACTGTGCAGCTGTTCTGTCTTTTCAGGTTTATCCACAATTTCATTTATAACTTTTTGTTTTGCTCAATGAAATATTGGATGTTGGAAAAGAAAAACTGGAATAGTTCTTTATTATTTTGGCACCCACTGACTGTGTCAGGGAGCCTTGTGTTCTCCAGCTTTAGGGATGAGTACGAGCAGTTGATGTGGCCTGGATGAATGTGTCCAGTCTAATGATGAGATTTCATGGCTGCTACAAACTAAAGGGGATCCCCTTTGTACAAACATTCAGCTTACAGACACTCGATCCAATAGAGGGGTGTAATTTTAAAGATTCAACATACAAACATTTCCTTTACTTACAAACGGCTGCTTTACATTATCCTGCATTGTGTTTCAACTTTTGCACAAATCAACATGTGAATTGACTCAGGAACAGAACCCGTTTGCAACCCAGGGAATGCCTGTACATGAGGAATGTTTAACTCTTGTGGGAGCTAACCAGGGATTTTTCTTTATTCTCTCTCTGTGTGTGGCTATCACTGGCATTTGCCCATCCCTAATTGCACTTAAACTGATTGGCTCTCTAGACAATTTCTGAGGGCAGTTAAAGTCAGTGACATTGCTGTGGGTCTGGAGTCACATGTGGGCCAGACTGGGTAAAGACAGCAGGTTTCCTTCCCTAAAGGACATCAGTGAGTGAGCCATTGCAGTGTTTTTTTTCGACAATTGACAATTGGTTCATAGTCACCAGTAGACGGCTTTTAATGCCCGATTTTAACTGAATTCAAACTTCACCATCTGCCGTGTCCTGTTCATTCTGATGTCAGTTATCAGGAAGGACTAATATCTATTATCGGGGACCAAGTAGTTGAGTATTTGGACGAATGTGCACCAATTAGATAGAGACAGCATCGACGTGTAAAGAAAAAGTGATATCCTCGTGGAAGTAACAAATGTAGTTGCAGTGAAATGTTTGAGGGTGCTGTTTGTAAGGCCATCCTGTAGGTCTCTGATGTGGTTTCACATGAAACTGTTAACAAGACATGGGATTGGAGCCAATGGCTTGGATAGGGAATTGATGAGGAGAGCGTGGACTGATATTGGCTTGTACTCAAATTGGCAACATGTGAGTAAGTAATGTCCTCAGCAATCTATTCTGGAACTTTGACATTTTGCAGTTTACCAGTGACCTGGACAAAGGGAGAGAGAGCCATTTCTCTGAGTTAGTTGACTTCATTGTTGTCACGTTGAGTAATGAAGATGGGATGCATAAACAAGGTTTATTCCCTTGAATACAAAAGATTGAGGAATGATCTAACTGAAACCTTTAAGATTATTAAAAGGGTTATAGTGTAAACAGAAGGAAAGGACTTTCTCCAATGGGTAGGGGGAGTCCAAAACAAGGTGTAATAATGTTAAAATTAGAGTCAGACTGTTTAGAGATGATGGCAAGGAGCATTAATTCATACAAAATATAATGGAATTCTGGAACAGGATCTGTGAGGTAGTGGAGCAGGTTTTGGTAGTCAGGTAGGAAGTCACAAACATAGCAACATCTTTGGAGGACAGGGGTTGGGGGAAGGCAGTGGTGGGGAGGTTATGGGAGGCACAATGGTTGGGTAATGGTGGTTGTGTGGTAAGTAGGCAGAAGTTCAGGGGGCTTGGGGAGGGCGGTGGTGGGGGCAGGGGGTTTGGTAGAGGGAGGTGAGGGAGGGGAGCATTTGGACGAGGTGGTGATGGGGTAGGTGGGATTATGGGAGACACCGTGGTTGGGGGAAGTGGTGTCATGTGGTGGATAGGCAGAGGTTTGGGGGGGTTGATGGCAGGAGTAGGTGGCATTTGAAGTGGTGTTGGTGAGCTGATGCACACAGAACATATATTCCCTTCCATCTCTCCTTTTAACCAATAAATAATGCCTCCCCATGCCTGGCTTTGCAAACTGTATCATGGTGTGTGGATTCTAATATTCCAATCTATTCAATAGGTAGCCAGCTCAATTTCCATTACTTTTTAAAAATGGCTAATGGGTTGCTGATTTTAGTGAACACCCACCTGCTGTTTTGTGTGGGGCAGGTTGGGGAGGGCAGGAAAGGCCTGGGCATGTTATCCATTCATATTTTACAAGCCCTTTGCCAGAAGGATGCCTGGTGATGGCCTGGGTTTCACAGTCCCCTGTTTCTGGGTTCATGTTATTACTGGCATATCATTCCACAGTACTCCTCACGTAAATAGTACTGTCCAAGTTTCAAACCAAATTAATGAAGGCTGCCACAGGAGTGTCATGTTTATCCTTACCAGATATCCAAGAAAGCTCAATATAGAATCAGGGAGTCACCTTCCTTTAGTACAACAGTCACCCACTTGCATCTGTGCTGAATCGCTGCAACAGCAACTCATCCAGTCCCAATCCTCCATTTGTTCCCCATTGCCCTGCAAATCATTTCCCTTCAGGGAATTAACTAATTCCCTTATGAAAGCCATGACCGAATCTATCTATACTACATCCTCCGGCTGCGCATTCCAGATTTTAATCACTTGCTGCATAGAAAGGACTTTCTTCATGTCACCTTGGTGTCCTCTGGTTCTTGATCCTACTGCCAATAGCGGCACTTGTTCACTACCTGCTGTGATTGGACTTCTCTTGATTCTTGAAAACCTCTATCAAATCTCTCACACTTCTCTCAAGCTCGGAACCCCAACTTTGTCAATCTCAGAGTGAGTGAAACACGGATTGCTGGATTTCTTTTCTTTTTCTTTTCCTTTTCCTTTCAGTTTTCTTCTCCCTTTCTAACTCAGCAACTCTGAAGGCAAATAAAACTCCCCTGGCTAACATTAGCTAGTTATGTAGATACATGGGACAATCTGGACTGTCATCACACAACAAATTAATTTGTTGGCCATCAAGGAAGTGGAACCTTTTAACACAATCTCAGTTTTTCTTTCAGTTTCAGTTATGACATTGCCAACCCAGTACATTAGTGCTTCAGAGTTCTGCATTCTTGCTAATGCTGACTACTGTGGGTAAAAATATACAATAATAAACTTAACAGAATCATCCTGGCTTATACCTTAAATATATACTGTTTACACTAAAAATCATCAAAATCCAATTCAGTGCAAATCAAATTAATCCTCAAATGGTTAAACAGCAACAAACACACATGCTGCATTGCTTCATGACATTTTAGATCTAAATTAGTGTAATTAATACAAGCAAAGCAGTAGCAATGAGTAAATTCAACATTTGCAGTTAGGACACACCAAAATGAGTTCAAAGGAAGAAGGGTCCCGACCCGAAACGTCAGCTTTCCTGTTCCTCTGTTACTGCCTGGCTTGCTGTGTTCCTCCAGCTCCATACATTGTTATCACCTGAATGTAATTTTTACAGCTAAGAAATCTTTTACATTTTTAGAAATGCGAATTATGCAGAAATTTGTCCAATAACCTGCTGAATTGAATTGGTGATTGAAGGCGGCATGAGTCCAAATAATGTAATTTATGTCCTTATCCTCCTGTATTCCAGGTGGGATTGTGTGACATGGAGTTGATACAGAATCTACTCCCCTTCTGCCCTTTTCTCTAACTGATTGTCATTAGTTGCTCTGAGAGGCAGGACAGGCTGACTGCCTTGAAATGCCTTTCCCTTCCCAGTGGTAAACTGCTCTACCTCCATTTAATAGGTACATGTCCTGACAATAGAATGGGTCATATACAGATCAGTTTTATACAACACTTTGTTGTACAATAATTGTCCACTGAATGGAGAGCAATCATTATAAAGTGCACATTCTTGCAAGGGTGCTGCAATTGGTGGAACTATTCAGTATTTTTAATGAAGTAATTACTTTAAGTCAGTTTCTGAATGATCATTTCAATTCATATTCTGAGACTCTAGTAGCTATGAGGTAATTCAATTTGATCTGGCTCCCATACTGTGGTAGCAGAAAAACTAGATAAATGATTATTTTGTTGGGAGCAGAAAACATAAGAAATGGGAGCAGGAGTATACCATGTGGCCACTCAAGCCTGTCCTGTCATTCATTGTTGATCTGTCCTGGGCCTCAACTCCTCTTTGATGCAATTTCCTCACAGCTTAAAAATCACATTTAATTTCATTTTCTTTTCCCTGTCTACGTTGCATGTTCATTGTCCAAGGCCTGTTATCACGACGAGGATGATGACATAATTCAAGGCAGCTGGCCCCATAACTACCTCAGCTAGCATGGGGACTGAATCCACATCTGTTGGTCACTCCAGCCATCTAGCTAACTAAGCTCATCAACACCCAGTTCAAAGCCATGAAAGCTGAACTAAAGGATGACCAGTCTGAAAGCAACCTTAGCACAAGTCCACGTGCTTAATTTTCTTCACATTATGCAAAATATAGGACTATCAAATGTTCCCTTTCAATAAAAAGACAGTGAGATGACATTATTCAGCAAACATAGCTAAATGATCCATCAGTAGTATTCTAAGCCTTGTAGCCCTGTGCTTCTGAGTGCTGTGTTTTGTTGCAATTGGAGCACACACATACAAGTTAAATCACAGCTCGTACTTTGCGAATGTTAAGGAAAATAAAGCGCTCACACAATTGCCCTGTGATCTGAAAGAAAATCACACTGTTGCAAAAACATCATCATTGTTCTGAAAGCGTTAATGGAATAAAGCCTTTAGGATGCTTCTAAAATGTGAAGTAAGACTTACATGAGAGATACCTGCGTTGTTTGTGGTGTTCTGTAAAATGAAAACTAACTTGAGATCTGTTCTTTAAAACAAACCCATTGTTTGTGCACTGTTTGTCCAGTCTTTGTGTTGAGACTTTGAATATTCATCAAACATTAAAGCTACTAATTTCACTGCAGGTTAAAATTAGAAAGCCTGATGTCAAGTGTTTTTAAATACCATTGATAATGAGATTTCATTGCAGGAAGTAATGCTGGGCAAAGGAATTCAACCATCTGTCACTACATGGACTGTCAAATCTAAAATCAAGTCTGGTTTAAAATGTTGCTAAGTGAAATTTGGCCTCTTTTCCTACGTCAGCCATGATTCAGTGGATAGTAACCTTTTCTGAGTCAGAAGGTTCAGCCTAGACACGAGCCCAAAATCAAATCTGGTCTGGTACTTCAGTGGGGTACTGAGGAAATGGCATTGTGGCTCAGTGGTTAGCACTGCTGCCTCACAGCTCCCAGGAGCCTGGGTTTGATTCCAGCCTTGGGTGACTGTATGTGTGGAGTTTGCACATTCTCTCCGTGTCTGTGTGGGTTTCCTCTGGGTGTTCCGGCTTCCTCCCACAGTCCAAAGATGTGCAGGGTAGGTGGATTGGCCATGCTAAATTGTCCCATAGTGTCCAGGGATGTGTGGGTTCGACAAGGGAACTGTAGGGGAATGGGTTTGGGTGGGATGCTCTGCGGAGGGGTGGTGTCGACTTGGGCTGAATGGCCTGTTTCCACACTGTAGGAATTCTATGAAACGCTGCAGTGCCCATTTAAATATTTTACCCATTTGTTGTATCATTTCTGATCTGCCGCATTTGATTTCACGTCCTCATGTAGTTTGGGATCACTGGCAAAGTTGATCCTTTTACAGTGAGTTCATGAGTTCATTTATACAAATTAGTCACACCATTGGTTCCACTTCTTGCCCGTGGAGTACCTATTCGTGTTGCCTCTAACCTCAGTATGACTCTTTCAACAAAAGCCCATCATGTTCTACCTTCAACAAATTCCTTACCATGTGACTGTGGCCGAGTTAAACTCTCCCTCCTTGTCCCTCTCCACCTGTCAGCAGTCTTTGACATGGCTGAATATACCACTGACTTCCCAGATCTTGCCTCAGTCACCCAGCTGGGTAGTGGCTCCATTTAATCTGTCTAATCATGTTGGAAGTATAATGGCTTCCTTTCCAATTCTGGACTCTCACACTTTTACCTCTGAGCTCCCTCAGGGATGTAAGTGTGTCCTCTCTGTATTTCTCATCTACATGCTGTCCCATGATGATATCATTCTCAAACACATTAGGTTTTCACACTGATGACCCCCAGCTCCAACTCACCATTACCCTTCTGCTGCTCGACTGAAATCCAGTCCTGGATGAGCAGAAATTTCCTCCATTTAAACATTGGGAAGACAGAGGCCATTGTTTCTGGTCCTTGTTACAAATTCTCTTCCCCAGCCATGGGTTCCATCCTTCAACATCTCAGGCCCTTGAGTTTGCTCTGCCATTCATAAGATTATGGCTAATCTGTTTGTGTCCCACATAGCTATGACAACTTTTGACTTCCTTGCCTAATGAGAATTTATCAAACTTTATCTTAAACATATTCAGTGTCCCTACCTCCACTGCTCTCTGAGGCACACATGAGCTCCCAAGTGCATATATTCACCATCATTCAGATTGTATCGACCCTGGTAACAGTGACTGCATTGGTTCATCTACTGCTGAAATGCTCATCCGTACCTTTGCAGCCTCTAGAATTGAACATACCTACACACTCCTAGCTCGCTTTGCACATTTTACCCTGGATAAACTTGGGCCATTCTAGATTCTGCTCATGTCCTTACTCTCACCAAGTCTGGTTTTTCCATTATCTCTGTATTCAGTCAACCACAATGGCTCCTGAATTTCCTACCTCTGTTATCTGCTCTAGCCTCGCAACTCTCTAAGATACCGCATTCAAAGTCTTTGAGAAGATGTGTAGCTCGGGTTGTGGATGAGGTTGTAGACTTGCTCGCCGAGCTGGTGGGTTTGGTTGCAGATGTTTCATCACCTTGCTAGGTAACATTGTCAGACCAGAATAAAGGAAAGAAGAGCCCTCCAAGAAAAAACTATCCAAACTCACCCACAGCAACGACACGGACAATATAGAAACAGAGATCAAGAACATCTCAGACTGACCGCTTACAGACACGGAGAAGACTGTCCTAGTACACAGACTGAATTCTAACTACAGAGATGCCAGCCTGCTCTGGAATCAACACTAAACAATAACGGACTCACAGAGGAAATACAACAGACCACCACACAGACAATAGTCCCAACACTGAGCAGAAAAGGTAAGTGGAACACATTCAACACAGAAGAGAAGAAATCCCTGGAAAGACTCAAGAAAGATAGAAACATCATAATCGTACTGGTGGACAAAGGATGCATGACAGTAATCCTTAATAGAGCCCAATACATTGAGAAAGCTAATGCACTACTGGTAGATACCGACACCTACCAATAGATGCGATAGATACAACACCATAGTTAGAGAACCGGATCAAAGCAACCCTGAAGAAATTACACAACTCAGGAGATATCAGCAAGACAGACGAACAAAAAAATGAAGCCAGAGGGATTCAACACACCCCGCTTCTGTGGACTCCCCAAGGTACACAAGCCAGGGGTCCCCCTCAGACCCATTGCCTCACTACCAGGCACACCAACATATAGACTAGCCAAAGAACTACAACGGAAACTGAAGTACTTAGTTGACAACACTACCCACTCCATCCACTCCTCCCGAGAATTCCTCAACATCATCAAGGACAGCGGGGTAGAAGAGGGCAAGATAATGATATCCTTTGACATAACAGCACTATTTACATCAATAAACATCGCCCTAGCCAAAGAGACAATTATCATACTGCTGGACAAATCAGGAAGGCAGGCACCCCACTACACCAACAGCATCAACAAGGACAGCCCCCTGAAACTGCTCGATCTGTGCCTGACACCCCACTTCACCTTCAACCGCCATATATTCAAACAAATCAACAGAACACCAGTGGGAATCCCCAATATCAGGACTGATAATAGAAGCAATAATGCAAAGGTTAGAATGAACAGCGCTCCACACTACGCAACCCAAACCCTGGGTCCGCTATGTAGATGACACCTTCATGATTATCAAATGCACAAGACTAGAAGAAACCCACCGACACATAAATAGCATCTTCACCGGAAAAAAACTCTCAAAAGAAGAAAAGAACTATGATCAATTACCCTTTCTAAACATAATGGTAGAACATAACAACAACGGAAAACTCCAGACTATTGTATACAGAAAGACCACACACACAGACCAGATACTTAATTACACCAGCAACCACCCCAACACCCACAAATGGAGCTGCATCAGGACATTATTCAAACGAGCCACAACACACTGCAGCAACCTGGAAATGCACAAAACAGAACAGGAGCACTTATACAGAGTTTTTAAAAGGAATGGATACCCAAAAAGCACAATCCGCTGTTACCTCTGCGACAGACCACAACAAGAAGACACAACACGTCCAGACACACTAGGGTAGCCCACAAACCAACAACCTCCCTGCGACAGCTACTGACGCACGCAAAGGATCCCATACCCACACCAATAAAACTACCGTAATATACAAAATACCATGCGAGGACTGTGAGAAACATTACATAGGCTAAACTGGAAGAAAACTGACAATAAGGACACACAAACACCAACTAGCCATCAAGAGACACGACCAATTCTCACTGGTTTCAATACATACGGACAAAGAAGGACACAAGTCCAACACATCCATAATAGCACAAGCCAAACAGAGACATGCAGGGAATTCCTAGAGGCCTGGCATTCCAACTGGAACTCCATCAACAAACACATTGAACTGGACCCAATATACAAACCACTGAAAAACAGAACCGGAAGTAGTGCCAACCACCCCAGCAAACCGGGGCATATAAATAACAAGTGGGACAGAACACCAACGCTTCACTGGAGGCGCATTGATGATGTTACCTAGTAGGGTGTCAAAACGTCTGCAATCAAACACACCGGCTCTGTGAACAAGTATATAACCTCATACCTGCATTCATTTAATTATGGCCTTTGTAAGAACCCGATTTTAATTGTTCTATCATTGGTGATCATGCCCGCCGCCAGGGCCCCAAGCTCTGGAATTCCCTTCCTAAACCTCTCTATCTTGCTTTCCTCTTTTAAGATGCACCTAAAACCCCACCTCCTTGGCTATTTCCTTAATATTGCCTTATGGTGGCTTGATGCCAAGTTTGCTTTGTAACACTTTTGTGAAATGCCTTGGAAAGTTTAGTTATGATAAAGGTGCTATATAAATATAAGTTGTTGCTTAACTTGAATTATCACTGCTTTGAGCTCAATCAATTTTGTGTAGAACTTTGTCAAAAGGCTTTTGGAAATCTTGAGACACAGTGCAATTAGGTCTTCATCCAGAGTGGTGATTCAGCCAGTTACTGTGCATTCAGAAGTGGAGCAGAAAAGCTTAGAATCATTAGAAAAAAATGCACCGGGGGCTGGCAGGGTGCTCCTGTGGAGATGGGTTGAATAACCTTCCTGATCTGGATTTGTTTCATCGTCGTCCTGTCAGAACTGCAGGACGCTGCAAAACTAATATGCTGGAATCACAACTAAAAAGGAAAACAGTTATTGTGCTTTTGGTGAAGAATGTTATTATTGTACTGTCGGACTTGCATGATTTGCTGCTGAACTATAAAGTATCTGGAGTGAAATAAATGCACTGATCCTTGCTGCAGTCAACATACAGACCCAGTGCATAATGTCAATCTGAGTGTATGTTCATATCTGTTTATGGAGTCTGAATATCTTTGTCATGAATTTTAAATATAGTTAACAGTTTATGAACTATTCCTCTCTATTATTCGTGGACTTTCAGTGAATACAGCAAAATGGGAATATCTAGGCCTCTGTTGTTCAGTTTTTAAGAGAATCAGGTGAAAGTAATGCAGGCTGACTTACTCTTCAGTTTTCCCTTTCCTTGTGGGAAAACTGCTTGACATCTTGCTAAAGTCAGCATTGCCATAGCATCTTTTCACATTGTGAGGCTGTACCAGGTTACAGCAATGTGCTTAAATGGCCACCTAACAATACCCACCAACCCTGTCAATCCTTTCCTTGCAATAAAAATGGGGACACTTAACGGTGTAGTCACTGCATGCAGGAAGGGATAGTTGTAAAATGAACCCCCTTGAATCTTCTATGGATACAATCAAGACTATCTCATAATCAAAGCCAATGACAAAGTATTTTATTGCTTTAGAAGCACAGAAATCGGTCTGTTATGATTAAGAATGCTCGACTCTCCTCACGTTTCTGTGAAGAGCTAGGTTGGCTTTATTTCCTAAACTGTGATATAAATTCCCACTATATAACACATATTTGCCACAGGCAAGCATGCCAGTTAGAAACACTGGATGCACACATGCCTTTCCCATCAGTGCTGGGGGCTCTGTTTCTGGGAATAATCTCTAATGTTACAGTTCCATCATTATTTATTTATAACCCTATAACCCTGAAAAGATCTGCTAAAGAAATCCACTTTCTGGAGAAATTTTAATTCAAAAACCCTTAGGCAATGTTGTACTGGAGAGATATGTATGAAGCCTAATACTTAAGTTGTGTCTGATCTATATTTTGTTCAATTCTGCTGTCTAGGCCCAACTATTTCTTGAATCAAAGTGCAGTGTTACAATCTGAGCCCAGCTGCTTCCATATGTGCATACAGCCGTGATTTCCTACACGTGACATTAACCATGCCTCTCTATTGCAGCATTACTCACCACTTTTGGCTTGAATGGAGGCTGTATCTCTCTTTGTTCCAGTTTCTCCCAATCAATTCTCCGGAAGAAAGCATGATCTCGGATATCTCTTTCTCCCTCTGGTCCACAGCCAAGACGCTTTGCTGGATGCTTTGTCATTAGCTGCGAAACAGAATTTGAAAAAACAACTTGAGATAAAATAAACCAGGTCATTGAAGATAACTTGCAAGGCGTGTGCTTTGCAGAATCGCTGGGCTGTCCTTCTTGTGAGATAAAAAGCTGAAATAGCAATTTTCATCATCAAGTTGCACACTATTCAGACTTGGAAATATATCACAAGTCCTTATTTTTGCTCCATCAATCCTGTAACATCCTACAGGGTAGCGCGGTGATGGTTCAAGGTGGCAGCTCACCACCATCTTTTCAAAGGCAGTTGGAGATGAGCAATAAACATTGGCCTTGTCAGCAGCATTCACATTCCAGGAGTGAATCTTTCAACACGTTATGTTTGCTGTCTACACCACTGCAAGGTAGTGCAATGCCTACATGTGTGCACAAATGCAGCGTTGAAGTGCTGTCGCTCCAAAGAACTGGAATAATGGACAAAGACGTTGCTGTGTGTTTGTCCACAGCAAAGAGTTGAGCTTCAGTATCACTGGAAACAACTGACAATTCATCTCCTGTTCTCTCTGCTCTTCTAAGCCCCCAGTCAATTAACTACTTAACTTGATGCTACAATATCCAGACGGATTTGCATTTCCAAAAGCCGTGGCCCATATTTGTGGAGACTGTCTTACAGAAAATAAAACAAAAGTTAGAGATCCTATCTGATGCTGAGAATGTGGTTACAGAATAGTGCACAAGGGCAGAATACAGAAATTGGATGTTTTTAATTGTCCAATGAAATTCCTTTTCTTAAACCTGCATCATCTCACATCAAATTTCCACCAGGCAGCAAAGGTTTGACATTGTCATGTTAATATTTGAGTTAAAATCCTTCCTGTATCCTTTGAAGCTGGAGTTTTCACAAGATCTGCACTGCTGATTTGATGGAAGTAAATGCTTTAAGCAGTTTGATAGAGAAAGAAAACTGAATAGCTTGGATAAAAACAAAGGCAGTTTGTGAAGCCTCTGAAGGGTCAGCCATGTGTGCCTGAGTGACCCCTGATACCATATGCATGTGGTCAGAGATCCTGTCGTGGCTGAGTGACATTATGGGGGCTGTCTGTGCACACGTGTGCTCTGGTGGTCAGCTTCAACATTGGGAATGTGCACTCAAAAAAAAGATCCACAAAGCCACCATGGCCACTGGTACACTCAGTCTGTGATATCAACTGACCGTGACATACCACAGAGAGCACTTATGCGCTGCTAACAAAATGGAATACCCCACCGCCCACCCAGACAGTGTCTGCCCAATTGGTCTCCTCAGCCATTGCCCCTGTCCCACTGCCTCATTGCCTGCTCCTCTCCACTCAGGGATGGGTCCTTCCTCAAACTGGGAGGCTGTTCCCAGAGGGGGCCAGATCTGCAGTTCTCTCGAACCGAGCCTTCCTTTCCCATCAGGAAAAAAAATCAGGCAGAAAATGAACAAAAAATTGCAAGTAAAAATATTATTCTGCAAGTCTTTTTTTTAAAAAAAGTTGCGTAATTCTCATTATGTTGACTTTTTTCACCGTTCATTATAGCATCAAGCCGCTGTATTTGGCAAATAAAGAGGTTGCCACTTTCAAATTACAGTGTGTAGATTGCAGCATGCAAACACTTTGTCTGAAATTTCTTTATCTACTACTTTAACGGATGAGTCACCCTGCTCATGGGAATGGATTAAAGCCTCCACTAAAGCAACACACAAAAGAATTTTACACGCACTGAACATATTTATACATCGGCACTGCTTGGTGTAAGTTCATGTTCCCTGTTATCCAAAGGGAGTATTTTTAAAATGTAATATCTCTGTTATGAAGGTTCGTAATATGTTATTATGATTCGAGAAATTAGATTCTAAAGTCGATAAAAACTGAATTTAGTCTTTCAGTGTTTCTTAAGGTCAGAAAGTCATTTTAAGTAATAAGTTCAAAAACAGCATTTACAAGCAGTCATTCGATTTCAGAGATTCAGATTTCAGCTACATGACCAGCATGTTCCCTGGCAAGGTAATTGTTAGGAAGCAGTTTGATTCAGAGAAAATTCCTAAATGGTAGATGTGATGTAATTAGCAGTCTCCAAGCAGTCAGGTATGGGGAGAATTGCTGAGTTGCCTAGAAATCATTGGAAAAGCAGCACTCCAGTAGAAATATTTGACAAGTCTGTTGAAAACATGAGTTTAGGGAACACATGTTAAATAATAAGTGAGCTGAGTTAGCAGTTTGTTTTAAGGGTGTCGAGGGAAGACATTAGGTAATGGAAACAACACTGAGTGAATGCACAACAGAAATTTGTCGAAAGGGAACTGATTACAGCTGTGCCAGCTGAATAAGAAGCGTTAGCAGAAGTTGAAGGCGAGTTTTCACTGAGGTTTGAGTGTCTGTACGGTTATTGCTGGGATAAAAGAGATGAATTTTTTTAATGATATTTGTGATGAGATTATACAAGAAGCAATGGAATAGTTTAACACACTTTTGTTTCTTGTTTGTTTTGTGTAATAAATTTTTATGATGTTTTGTTTAATGAGTATATTGACAGCCTCTTATTAGCAACTGACTTCCATAGTAAACAAAAAGAAAAATAAAACCGATGGCGTACGAAGCCAGGTTTCACTCTTGGATTTGACTTGTCCAGAATTATCATCAGCTGGGATCATAACAACTGCAAGCTTTTGAACAACATGTTCTTAACAAGGCCACATTGCAATTTTCAAGTTTTGCTTCCATCTTCATCAGGCAGAGGGGAGCTGTAGTCACATCAGGCAGGAAGAGGATTCAAGCTTACAAAATTGGGGATGCATCACTAAACTTGGCACTGCCACTTTTAATGTGCCAGGCAACACGCGTTAAAGACAACTTATGATGATTAAAATTAAATGATGATGGTGTAACTGGGGACCTGGCTGAAATTTAATCAGTGGACAGCCAGGTTTCCATAGCACCTGAAAACTTGGAAGTTTAAAAAAGACTAGGTGGAAGCTGCCAGTTCCACAAGGTCAGCACCCCGCCCAGCACTCCTTGTAGGCCAGGAGAAGCAGGACGGCTTTGCTCAGGCCCTCAAATTAACATTCAGCATCCCCTCTTACCCTTTGCCCTTTGGTTAACTTCAACCTCCAGTCCCAATGGTTCCCTCCCTGTCCATTCCTACACTCTTCCTTTCCTTTTGCAAATCCCTCCTCCACAGCAATCCAGACCCAATTTCTCACTCCTTTTTGATTCCCGCTCACTCACAACCACTGGCCCCACATCCAACAAGTCTCAAGCTCCTTTTCCTTCCACATTGCCAAGGACTATATGAAAGTCTCCTTTGTGATGATGCTGGTTTTGCTGTCAGGCAGTTTGTCGGCCCTACAATTTAGTCAGCTGTCGATCAGGAATGAAAAGAAACGATGCTAACATCCTCCTGTTAAAGGCAGCACGAGAGTTGGGCCACTAGCCTTATCAGATTTTCTCTGTGTTCCTTTGCCCCCTTCACTCCTGAGTCAGAATTCACACCCACCATCTATTCCTGATGGTGTGGTTAAAAGTCTTCTTTCAAGTGCTGCCTATTAAGGGTCAGGAATCAAATGTGAAATGCCACAAACATGAGACAGGAATCTATAGTTCTAGGACCAGGCAAAAGCAAAATATTGTCACGGTTGGAAATTTGAAATGCAAATGGAAAAAAAACTGGCAAATCTCCATGGATGTGTGGAGTGTGGAACTCAGGTAACAGGCTGGAGGCCAGTAATCAAGGCAAATGGGTACTTTAAAACAAGTGCATTGCGACTGTTTCAAATGAAACTTTAAATGAAAGGCTGACCTCCAGGGAAAGCTTATGATAAGAGATCAAAACTTCCAAGGAATTGGGTAACATTGTTGGTAGTCCCCATTACAGTGAAATTCTTATACTAACCAAGAATCAGCATGAAAGCTCCGAACCGTGTTAGTCTGTAACGTTACTTAAAGGAATAATAATTAATCTTTCACAACATGAAATGTTCAGATGTCATGACAGCAGACTGATGTCTTACCCCCTTGCAGATTAAGACAGCCTCCTTTGTCATTGATTTGGGATATGATACATTATGCTCCATTATAGACTGGAAAAGCTCATCCTCATCTTCGCCGTCAAATGGAGGCTGTCAGAATACACAAACAAACCACCAAAAGCATTAGGTAAAGCTTCAACACAACTGTCAACAGACCTGAAGGTCTATTCACGGCTTTATATTCCAGTGATATTTATACTACCTTGACATTATTTTACATGGAGATTTCAAAAGTAGAATTGACAATTTTGTCCTTCTTTTCCTCAAAGGGTACATGATTCTTCAAATCCAGCAACAAGAAAGGCTACCCAACATAGACCCCTCTCCCAAGTCAACATAATCAACAACAAGGCCAATTCTCCTCCTTACTTTGTTCCACTTCAGGAGCTGAAGCTGTCGTCACAGTTTTAATAGCATGTTGCCAAACTAGTCCAATGTCCTGCTGGAGGCCAACTGTAACTCCAGGATCTTACCCTCAATGTGAGTCAGGGGTGGGGGTGCAGGATTATGATTTGCTGTGTGGAGAGGTCTTGAGATGCCAGTTGCGAGATCAAGAGGAGAGGGACCATACAAACACTTTACAGATGGACCCAAAACACCTTAGAGAAGATCAAACATTCCTGCCAGTTCCCAAGAGTCTCTGACTAGTTACTGATCACAATGGACAGGGCTCATTCATGAAGACACTAACCACATTGAGAGATTCCACTGGGCACGGCTGGAAGCACAATGGAGGTGTCAGAGAAAGTTCAAAACATTCAAAAATTCAAACAATTCATCTGCTCAGTCCTTCAAACAATACATGACTGAATCAGCACTGGACTCATTAACCATCTCAGACCCCACTGATCTGGACAGGAAACAAGTCAGCCTCAAACCCAAAGGATGGCCGGAGACACAGCAGATACCAGTCTACACTCGCGCTTTCTCTTTCCAGGTACTGTTTTATTTTTCTTTGAATGCCTCTTAACTTCCCTATTTTGCATATATTCAGACTTTAGACTGACCATGTTCCAGTTGCCCTCCACTATCTGGGTGATCTTTATAAAACCTCCTGCCATTTACCTTAAATCTACAGCCCTGGTTACTGATCTAAGGGGAAAGCATTTTTTCTATCCCTGCTCGTCATAAAGTTGTACTCCTAAATTAGGTCCTCCCCCTGCCTTCTCTGCTTTAAGGAGAACAATCCCTGCCTATCTAGTTTCTCTTCGTAGCTGAAACACTCCAACACAGGCAACATTCTAGTGAAATTCCTCTGCACCCTCTCTGCAGCAATCACATTCTTCCTACAGTATGGCAACCAGAAGTGGACACAGTATTCCAGCTGTAGCCTTATACAGCTTACATAATTCCATTCTTGATTGAAGGTATTACACTGGCATTTTACATTTCTCTAGAAATTTTCTGGAATCCAAGGATTCCTGGAGATCCTTACTGAGTAGATTTTAACAGGATATTTGCTCATGGGTCCCTGGCAGATTACTACCAGTGCATCCACTGTCTGTGTAGTTACGTCCTTTCATATCCTAGGACGCAATCCATCTAGGCCAGAAGACTTATCTGCTTTTAGGCCCATTGGTTACCCTAGTACTTTTTCTCTAGTGATAACTATGATGCTTATTTCCTCCATACCTCCTTTGTGACCCTTTGATTATTTAGTGGGTTCGAAATGCTAAAAGTGTCTTCACCTGTGTAAACTGAGACAAAGTATTTATTCAACTCATCTGCTATTTCCTGGTTCCCCGTATTATTTCCCCAGGATCATTCTCCAAGGATCCTCTGTTCACTTTGGCTTCTCTCTTTTTTATTTCTAGAAGCTCTTACTGTGCGTTTTATATTACTTGCCAGTTTACCTTCAACTTATTTTTTCTACCTTTTCTGTGGTCAAATTATCTAATCAGTTTTTTCAGGAACAGGTGTTTTACTGAATAATAAAACATTTTTTAAATGGACTAAACTGCAGAAAAGACCAATCTAATTCTTCCCTTTGAGGTCACTCAGCTCTGAAATTCTTTAGTCACTTGCTGCAGAGCATGAAAATCTTACCATTCAAAGTCTCTCTTCAAAGGTTTCTTACCTGACCGGCTAACATTTCATAAAGTAATACTCCATACGCCCACCAATCCACTGATTTTCCATATGGCTGATAAGCAATAATCTGAAAGATATGAAAAACATCCAAAATGTGAGGGAAAGGACAGGAAAAAAAACTGCAATCACGTCTTGAAAAGAACATTTGGTTGTACTGCTATTCCAACTTAGCTTTTATAGAAAAAATCTACTTTCGCATCAAGTACTACGACTCCTTCAATGTGAACAGGTAGGTGGCAGGAGACAAAGATGTATTTCCTGACATTCACCTTTTCAGGTAAAGCTATCACCTCATGCTCCCAAGTAGGAAGGGAATGTATCCTAATAAGGGAGATTGGGTGATCAGTCAGCTTACTGCTTGCTTTCCCAGCAAATCCACAGATCAAAATTGCTCACCTTTGACTCAAGGTCTTTACTGAGTAGAATTTAGCAGGATATTCGCTCACGCGTTCATTACCAATGCATCACATTACGACAGGTATTATGGAGCAAACATAAATCAACAGTTTAACACCCCCATTTCTGAAGAAGGGTCCCGACCCGAAACGTCAATTTTCCTGCTCTTCTGATGCTGCCTGGCCTGCTGTCTTCCTCCAGCTCCACACTGTGTTATCACTTACCTTTCAGATGTTGTCCATGAAATTCCAGGCAATGGTACCTGAAGCTTCTTCCTATCGATTACTTTGTTCACACCTAATCAGAATACTCTTATTGTGCTCAGAGAAACTCCTCCATATGATTTAAAAATCAAGTGAAATCATCTAGTTTGTAAATATTAGGTTTAAAATTGCAATTAAATCTTGAAGATGATATAAACTGGAGCTAGCCACTGGTCTTCTCTCCTTTGAAGATATTATGTTTTCATATTTTTTTCTGCCAAGTGGATAATTTCACATTTGCCCATGTTATATTCCATCTACCACCTCTAATCCACTATATAAGTCTGGTAAGTCTATATTACAGTATGTGTTAAAGTCTATATTCCTAGTTTCTTTGGCACCTTCTCACGTCTGATTTTCACACTGACCATTTTATCATCAGCCAAATTGGATGCACTACAATTGGCTTTTGAAGAATGTCTAAAATTCAGCTCTCGATCACCATGATTGTAGCTCGGATATTTTACTGCTTTACTTCCTTGATTTGACAATATAAACTTTGGATTACTTTGTGAATGCGGCACTAGATTTCTGAAAGAGACAGGAGGTATCATCTGTTGCAGGTTATATAAAACACCCCTCCCCAGTAAGAATATCTGTATCCACAATATTCATATTTCTCTCCTCAGGGGACTCTCGAGGGGCAGGGGTGGGGGTGGGGAGGGGATCCCAGTGAATGCAAACAACTGGAAAGAACGTAGTCATAGAGTCATTCAGATTGGAAACAGACTCTCCAGTTCAACCAGTCCAACTGAACATAATCCCAAACTAAACTGTAAAAAACCTTCCAAATTCCTACACTCAATGCCTTAATTGATGAAGGCCAACATGCTAAATGCCTTCTTCATCAACCTGTCTAGCTGTGATGCTGCTTTCAACGAACTATGTATTTGTACTCCTCAGTGCCTCTGTTCCGCAACACTCCTCAGGACCTTACCATTTACTGTATAAGTATGCAACATCTCATACTTATTGTATTGAATTGCATTTGCCAATCCTCAGCCCACTCCCGCATCTGATCAAGATCTCTCTGTAATTTTTGATAACCTTTTTTGCTATCAACGATACTTCCTAATTTTGTATCATCCACAAACTTACTAATCGTGCCTTGTACATTCAGATCCAGATCATTTATGTAAATAAATGTTACTTGTGTCCAAGGTGGAAGTGGGGTTAAGAGATCAGAAAAGACAGTGGGACCCATTTCATTTGATATTCTGTCTGTTTATGGTGCTACCAAATGTTCTAATGGAGTAAGGCATATGTTGGGGAATTTCCCATCCTGCTTTTCCTAGATCTGAGAATGTGGCCAGGGCAGATTGTCGGAGGGTTACTACACAAATGAGTCTGTTGGTGCTTTGCACATCTTGATGGTGCCCCTGCTGGCTGGGAGCCAGGAAAGGCTACCATGGTCCCAACAGCAAAGATGATCAACCAGAATACGTGCCCTAAGTTATTTCTTTGGTTTTGTCAGCATAGCCTCCATTTGAAGCTAAACAATGTTGAAGATCGCAATTGTTTTTGACCTGGGAATGGTCTTTGGGATCTCTGCCTTAACAGCTGTGAAATGTTCTGCCTTACAAAGCCTCATACGGCTGGGCGATACTGAGATGCTTTCACAAGTTTGGCAGTTCACCCCAAACACACTAATGACCCCATTCCTGTAACCTGGGACGGGATCCATATCTTCGAGAGCCAATGGGCTCTAGGGGCTAATCTGCTGACAGGACGGACCGAAGGGGATTTTGGCCATGATGCCATCAGTGGCTGTGCTTGGCTCAATTTGCCAACTATCTGAAGGAAGGGGGCAGGATCCAAACTGCCCAGAGTTGTTGAAACAGGTAGCCTTAAGCCAATCACAGCTCTGTAACATTAACATCTTTAGGGATCTCTGGTGCTGCTGGTTGAGTGAGTGCCCAAGAGAAGGCCAGAAACCTGCCTCTGTTGGCAGCTACACTCGTCTGTGTAAAAGTGCCTCAAGACTTATCCCATCACGTTGCGGATTTCTATATTCAGGCATTAAGTGCCAGAATGTTTGCTCACAGATTAGTCATTCTCTGCCACCTTCCTATAAATAGAGACAATGTGCTAGTGTAAGATGTATAAACATTTGGCCAACTGTCTTTTCCTTTCTTCAACTGGAATCTATTTAACTGAAAAAAAAGTTTATCATGAATAGACCAAACTTTGGGACAGCGTTCTCATGCATGAATCTTCTGTTGATAAAGTCTTTTGAGTCCATTACAGTCTGCTCCGCTTTTCTGAAGAAGGGTCCCAATTCAAAACGTCAGCTTTCCTGCTCCCCTGATGCTGCCTGGCCTGCTGTGTTCCTCCCGCTCCACACTGTGTTATCTCTGACTCCAGCATCAGCAGTTCTTACTGTCTCTGCTCCACTCCAAGGATGTTTGCGAACGTAGAACAAAGGCCTGAAAGTAAAATGGCGACACTTCCTTTGGGCTGACGGGTACCACGACCGTGAACTGGTTGCTTGGCAACAGGCACCACTGGTGTGAGCAACAACCTGCAACGATACACAGCAGCTTCCTGTGAGGCACTTGTGGCAGAACCTGGCTCTCAAGGATCGGCCTCTTCACCCACTGGCAAAGAGGTGCCCCCTGAAGACATCACGTTGGAAGTGGATGATTTGCTGCGTTCCTGTCATCCTTTGTAGATGGTAGGAGGCTGTACACAGTGAGATACAGCCAGACCAGACTTCAATTTCTCCAATCATCCAGAATAGAGAGTGTACACCTTGGTCACACAGCATCGAGCAACAATGATGATGAGTGACTTGCACTGTATGTAGACATTCAAAGTTTACGGTATGTTTTTGCAAGTTTCTATGAGATTTAGAGAAATTGTTACGACTTACAATCATTTATGGGGAGGGGAAGGACAAGTCTGTTGTAAAGAGTGCAGAGGATAACCATTCTTTCTTCATGTTATACACTCTTTCAATTTACACTCAAGGATCAGCAAGCATTTAGTAACAGGAACAGGCTGTTTAACCCCACAAACCTGTCCTGACATTCATGCAGATCATAGCTAATCAGTTCCTCAAACCCTCCCTGCCCCCAAAGGAAGTATCCCCTTTTCACCTGCCTATTCACCAAAACCCATTCCCCTCACCCCACTCCCTCCTCACCGACTCCAACGTTTCCAGTCAATACCCAAATCTGCCTCAATGGTTTCCATTGGGCCTTCTTTGTCAGAGCTCAGTACTGCTTCCTCCCACTCGAGGGTGCAATTCCCACTCGCTGCACTTCAGCCTGCTCACTGTGTGTAATTGGGATTGCTCAACATAAATCTGTTTGTCTGAATCTTGAAAAATTAATGTACCCAAAATTCTCAAACCTTCTAATGACAGTTCCACCAATCATTGCATGAAAAATGTTTCCAAATTTCATTTCTAAATAGCCTAGCTCCAATGCTAAGATTGTTGTGGACTTGCCCCACCAGATAAAATCGGATTTCTGTATGGAACCTAACAAATCCTTTCCACACTTTAAATGCCTTTTGATTACATCCCTTCGCCCGATAAAACTCGAGGGAATACAAATCTTGTTTCTGTAACTGGTGCTCAAGGACGAACCTATTAGGCCTTGTATTAAGAGATAACAAGGTGTAGATCTGGATGAACACAGCAGGCCAAGCAGCAGCAGAGGAGCAGGAAAGTTGACGTTTCGGGCCTAGACCCCTCTTCAGAAATCATATCAGGCCTTGTATTAGTTTAGACACTATAATCTTCTGAGGCCTATATGGAATTTCTGAGATTAGGGGCAAAATTCAATGTTTGCTGAACCAGTCCCCCGCTCTCTGTCTCTCTACACCTCACCCCCTTCTGAACTTGTCCCTCTTTTTCTCTCTGTCTGTCTGTTCCTCTGTCTTTGTATTTTCCACCCTCTCTGTCTTTCTTTTTCTCTCTGTGTCTCTTTCTCTGCCTGTCTCTCTCATCCCTATCTGTTTCTCTGTCTCTTTCTCTGTCTTTGTCTGTCTTTCCCTTTGTCTCTGTCTTTCTTTCTCCCTCTCCCAAACCACCAAAAGGAAAGTACATGGGCAGCCAATGGACTGAGTAGAGTCATCCTGCAGCCATTATACACAGTGAGCAGGCTGAAGTGCAGCGAGTGGGAAATTGCACTCTCCAGTGGGAGGAAGCAGTACTGAGCTCTGACGAAGGAGGCCCAATGGAAACCATTGAGGCAGATTTGGGTATTGACTGGAAATGTTGGAGTCGGTTAGGAGGGAGCGGGGTGAGGGGAATGGGTTTTGGTAAGTAGGCAGGTGGAAAGGAGATACTTCCTTCAGTGGCAGGGAGGTGCCCTGACTCCCAAACCCCTGAAGATAGTCTTCCCTCCTTCCTGCCCTTTTAAAAATGTTTAAATAATAGGTCACTTGGACCCAAAT